AAATCAATGAGATATTTATAACAGTATAGCAGACTACTTACATAAAATTATATAAATATAAGTTGTCACTCTATATCTCCCAGTAATGTCTTAGTAATATAATATTTAAAGATGATCAAAACATATAATGCAATACAATACAATGATTATTGAGAGATGAACAAATAATGTTCCTCAAAAGCCTGATGGATCGTATTTGAGTGATTTTTCTAAAAAATAAATAAAAAAGGGTAATAAAATAAAAGTTACTTAAGTCAGTAAGTGTTAATCTTGAAATATTACTAACAACATCAATGTTATTACTTAAATAAATATCAGTAAAAATTTCACAGCAAAAAGACACATGAACAACAACCTGAGGGTGGACGTTTGTACAATGATACAATCAAATCAGACAACAGAAGACATGTGGTAGATTGTGTTCAATAGGTTTTTATTTTTTTAGCAAGTTTTAATCAAGTTGATCATTTAAATGCCATAGGAATTTGTCATATCAAATTTGATACAGTAGGCTTTATCGGGTAAACATTCATGATGATTGCACTAATCATATAGCTTCAGAAAACTTGGATTAAACCACTGGAGGAAAATCAATTGAGTTTAGAATGGCACGAGGGTCAGTAAATAAAGAAAAAAGAGAAATAAGTCAAGCTAACAAATAAAATCAATATGAATGTTCTATATACACTTTTGGTAGATTGCAAACTGCTGCTTTTTTCCCCACTGTAGTAGTTCAATAGCATATATAGCAAGAGCACTGACACATATGTTCAGTGAAATGGCTTAGCAAAGGTTTTATGTGTGGAGTATTTAACATATCTGTTATCAGTCTGACTGAAGCCATAATGCCAATGGCAGACGTAATGACTTCCCCTCTGGACCGTGCGGCAGCATTAGGGTAATCCTGGGGGCTTCACCTGGCACGCTGGTGAGGCTTAACTGTAAACCACCAGCAAGGCCCTTTTTCCATACCAGACTCAACGGCCTTGGCAAACAGACCACAGCCGAGCCAGTGGAGTGAGGATGGGTGTCCAGGCCACCGGATGGGTGCTTTAATCTTTGGCCAGGTTTCAGCTCAGTCAGCAGCTTTTGTTGGAAGCTTTTTGTCAGTAGACTGAAGCATGAACGTAACTGTTACAAGAGTGTGAGGTAAGAAAGGATATTTTATATCAAGGCTGGAGAGAAGATGCAAACTTCATTATCTTGCATGTAACAGTACTATCTTCAATAACTGTCTATGGCCTCCCTTCCATTGTTTATTCATTTACTGCGATAAATTCAATTAGGAAAGGATTTTTAAAATGGTATTTACTTCATTGTAATGTAATTATTATTAAATTGAACAATTGCAAACAGCAGCTAGCTCAAATCACGTGATGTGTGTACTACTAGGCATCTGAGGTTTCCTCTCTTTTTTTGGATGGAAAATGTGTGCCTTTTTATTGTCCGAGTCACTTATCAAAATTTGCTAAAAGTTGCCAAATACATTTTTAAAATTGCTACATTTGTTGTATAAAAACGTTTCGGGAAACTATTAACGATAAGGTACAGCTTAAGGTACAACTTAAGAACGATGTAGCATTAAGAAGGTTTCAGGAAATGCAGTCATGCTGAGTTTTTTCTCTCTCTCTCTCTCTCTTCTGTTAAAAGCTGTTAAATTATTAAGCAGTGTCTGGTGTAGGTTTTTTCCTTGTATTTTATGTGGTGACCACTGGGAGGTGCTCTGGGCATTAGGGCTGTCGCGATTCGTCGATTTTATTAGACTATTCGATTTTTTTAAATCCTCGACTTAATTTTGCATTTCAGCTTCCCAAGGCTGCATGATATATTAAACCCATTTAAAAATCACAATTAAGCATAATTGTGAATTCACAAATGCTACGATTTAATTCATTATATGCAATGCAGTTCTAATACAGTATATGCGCTTTAATTATTTATATGCGTGTAGGTTAAGTAGGTGCGTCAGACAGTGGCTCCGTTCACAGTAGTTCCACAGGAACTGTTATCATTTACATGTGTGGAGCGTCTCAAACTCCATCTCTGCATGTTGTTGTGAGTTTGGGTTTATTATAACGTTCATCTGGGAACGCAACGTGCGCCATTTCATCAGATTTGTAAGGTAAATAATTTATAAATCTATGCAAACACAGGAGAATACATCACGGTTTCAAAATAAAAGCTCAAACCCTCACTCTGTGTTTACACGTTTTGATGTCCACATATTCTTTTACTTACAGTGGCTATAGCATTTCTGACCTAAATAAATTGCCAAATATTAAAGATTAAGTGGACATTTGAATGAAATGGTGCTTGGTAAATATTAATCAAGTATTAGATCGCACAGCAATGTGTAAAACTAATCATTAGGCCGTTGGCACCCTCTGCAGGCCTTTGTTGTAATGTGTAATGTACATTAGCTCTATTGTTTATATATGTATTGTAACAGTTTTGTTCAATAAAACCATATGATTTCTTGCTTTTGATACTTTATTTGAATTAATTATTATTGCCTATTATATATGTATTTTAAGTCATTTTAAAGGCTATTGTTCACTTACATCTATTTTTATTACCACAAAAAGAATTAATTATAATTATAGGGCCCTATGAAATCGGTTTTATTTCCAAATTCAGTTTTGTTCCATTTAAATTTTTCTATACTCTGTTTTAATGGTTAAATAAAATTGTATTAATCAAAAAGCCTGTCTAATTAATTGAGTTTTACAGTTTTATCTTTACCAAATTCTGTTTTCCATTATTTTCTGGATTCTATTTGAATGGTTCCATTAAATTGTAATAATCAAAAGCATCTCCAATTAATTGATTTTATTAAAAAAAAAAAAAATAAAGTTTTTCTTTCTTTTTTTTCAGAAATACTGCACATTTACATTTTTCTCCTAAATAAATTCTGGTAAATAACATTTCTGGTAAATACTCTTTTAAAGTGTTTTTTTATTATTAATTTATTATTAGTAGACTAGAACATGTGGATATGTTGTCATTCTTACACTATAATACTGAACTTTGATTTCAGTGATTTGGACTATGAGATGGATGCACTTTACTTTTGCTTTAAAAAAGGATTTAATAGAAATATGGATTTAAAATATTCTTATATATAAAAAATATTCTTAAGTAAAATTGTTGATTTTTAGTGGGAAATTAATCGTTTAGATTAATCGATAAATTAGTCGATAGATTAATCGAAATAAAAATAGTCATTTGTGGCAGCCCTACTGGGCATATATTTTTCTTTCTTGGTTTTATTCCCTGACGTGATGTATGCTGCAAAGCATCAAAGTAAAAGTTTCACGCAAGTTCGCTGCGTGTCTTTATTTAAAATCAACACTTCTTTTACAAAGAACACCGCTTTCTCACATAACGCAGTGAAGCAGGTATAGTTCGTGGAACACGCCTAGAACAGGTATACCTTTAGTTAAGACATACCTTTAGAGTCTTCGTAGCGCGCTAAGAGACAATGTTATCGGGAAACACAGCCCAGAAACGGTAGCTCTCCAAGAGCAGGGTTGGAGACCCCTGCGGTAATAAATGGTTCTCCAAATTTAGATCTAGCTTGTAATCATTTTGTTTATAAAATATATTAGTGGCAGTGTCTTGAACACAAGCCACAGTGTTTGAATATAATTAAAAGTCACAATGAAACAAAATATTTCTCAACGGAAGCATTTTGATTAAAGATTACAATGTTTTTATGTTTTAATGAAACATGGATGAATCATTCACATTAAGATCTCTAATATGAATTTACAAAATACACAGGGTGAATTTTTATATCACGCTGACTTGATGAGAGTAAGCAGTTCTCAAAACGTATGAAAGAAAATATGATCTGTTGCCTTATTTGAATATAATCAGTTATTGAACATTTTGGAATAACACAATTTCAAAATTAGTCAGACGTCATTTAAGTAATTAATGTTGAGAAATACAGGGTATTGCTTTCATTTTAATTAGTAACGCCTCACTATAGACTTGCGTTCCTTGCAGTACAGGGACAGCTAAAGCTAACCAACATCTACAATGATGAGAATGGACAACTACTGTCACTGTCTGCTAATCAAAGGAGGATTCTCTCAGCTGCTCTTATTGCTGCTAAAAAAGTTATCTTGAATCTATGGTTTGATCCATCTACCCCAGCTATGTCTACTTGGTTGTCATATCCGTTGGATATTGCTCTTCTTGAGTGTACCGTGGCTAAAGTGGACAGCACCACCGGAAGGACAATGCAATTTTGGTCGGAGCTTGTTGTGACTTTATTGGATCTTTTGAGATCTAAAGTTCTACATGTACTCATCTGTATGAGTTTTATCTTTTCTGTCACACAATTTTTATTCTTTATGTAATTTTACAGATTTATTTATTTTTATTTACTTTCGCTTTTTTAAATCTACTTATCTTATGACTCTGAGCGGATCTTGGGCTTTATTGCATATAGTTATCTTTTAAAAAGTGTTATAAATAAAAAAACGGATAACTACTACTGAAAACTGAGGGCTATAAAAACAAGGCGATAAACAAGACACAGGACCAAAGGAAGCAGAAATACATAACATACAAGTTATCAAAACAGAATGTAAATGTGACCGTTGCATGAGTATATAAAACTTTTATTTCTTTGGATTTATCCAGATGGCTTATTGTTATTGTATGTTTATGTAAATATTATTATCATCATTATATCATTGTCACCTCCACCACCACCACCACACTTTTCACATTAACTCTGAATTTATAAACTGAATTCTAGATGTCATAGATAAATAAAGCAAGTGACCCTGGAGCACAAAACCAGTCTTAAGTCGCTGCGGTATATTTTTAGCAATAGCCAAAAAAAATAAACATTGTATGGGTCAAAATTATCGATTTTGCTTTTATGCCAAAAATCATTAGGTTATTAAGTAAAGATCATGTTCCATTAAGATATTTTGTAAATTTCCTACCGTAAATATATCAAAACTGAATTTTTGATTAGTAATATGAATATATCAGAAGAGCTGCGACAATACTTTGCCCAGACAGAGCGACACAGGCAGGAACTCAGTAAGTGGTTACCAACATACATGGAAACTTTTATTAAAACTGACCTTTCAGCTGCAAGAACTTGCACTTTTTTGGGTTTCACTCCATATTAGAACCACCACGTAGTTTACAATACTGTTACTGCTCTATAGAGACGGAGGTTTCTGTTAACACTGGTCAGGCCCGGTTCTATGGGGGTGTGAGAGGGTGCTAAGCACCCTCAAACGAAATCAATAGCACTGTAGCGGATTAGCTCATGGGGAAATATGAATAATTAACCATAACTAATTATGATTAATTATTAATATTTTATCAGTTAATGCTGTAATAATGGCATTTCATTGTAGATTTGGCAAACGATCCAGTGCTTTATGGTTTGCACTCTGGAGATCAGTTTCTATTTCAACATATTTTGCAACGTTGAGCAATGTAGCCAATCACAGACATATCTGTTGATTTTTTTGAACCCAACAGCCAATCAGAGGCATTTAAGTTAGAATCCACTCACCGCTTAAATCACTGCGGTTTTTGTTCAGCACGAATCATTTCATTACAACAAAGTGTAGACGCGATATAAATAAGACATTCATTGTGCAGCGTAGAGAACTTCATTGATTATAACGTAACTTTGTGAGATTGCAATGAACTAAGATGAGTGACAGCTTTTAGTGATTATAAAGGGAACGTTCTTGCGCCATAGCAATGGACGGCACAAACATATTTTTTTAATATACAGTATTTAGCGGGAGAGAGAGAGAGAGCACCCTCACTAATTTAAAGGGGTCATAGGATGCCCATTTTCCACAAGTTGATATGATTCTTTAGGGTCTTAATGAAAAGTCTGTAACATAGTTTGGTTAAAATTTCTCAATGGTAGTGTAAAAAACACCTTTTTAACACTGTCAAAAACAGCTCTTTTCAAAGCAAGCCTTTTTTGTAGCATTTTCCTTTAAATGTTAATGAGCTATGCTGACCCATCTTGTCTGCATCTGCTCTGGCTGTGAAACAACAATGGTGGACTGATGGCAGCTCACTCAGGGTGGGTCTGAGGTAAGACACCAGTCCAGTCTGTGCTGAAACGCTACTGTCAATCAAACTATCGTGGGAGGGGCCTGTCTGTGTGACGTCACACAGACAGGCATCTGAGATCGGCTCCATTTGAGAAAGGGGAAAACATTTAACCAGATTAAAAAAAAAAAACACTTGGGGGATTTTTATCATTATAGGGTGGTTGAGTACATACACTGCCAACACACATTTCAGTTCAAACAGCTTGTAAAAGTGCATGTAGCATCCTATGACCCCTTTAAGAAGCACCCTCAGTGATTTGATTCTGGAGCCGGGCCTGACACTGGTAAAACCAATTTGGACCTTGATGGCCAGAGTTGAGAGTACATCTCTAGAGTACATTTTCAAAGCATATATAAATGTATAAACATTTTGCAAACTCCATGTTTCTAATGGAGGAGTTCAAATCTCAGTCCTAAATTTTCTTTAGGTAATACTTAAGTATAGTACACATACATTTCAGGTTTGAGAATTCTCCTAATTATTTTTTTAGTGGTGAGGAAGGGCATGTTATGTTTATGATGATATAAGCATAATAGGTGCTAAAAAAACACTGGTTTTGAAGCAGGGGGCTGGGAACCACTAGACGCCTTGGCAAACTTTAAATGGGGACTTAAGTTTAAAAATGTATTAATACGTAGAGGTAATCACCCATGAATGAATTAATGCGGACGAGAGCTGGAGGAACAGTTACAGATACAGAACAACAGGTAGAGAAGAAGAAAGGGAGAATGAGGCCACCTGAAAGAATGAATGGTCAAGTCACTTTTATTTATATAGCACTTTACAGATTGTGTCAAAGCAGCTTTACAGTGTTAAACAGGAAAAACGTGTGCTGATAATGCAAGAGGACAATAGTAAACAATCAGTTTATCAGTTAAAGTCGGTTCATCATTGATTCAGTGATGTCATCGTCCAGCTCAGTTTAGTTCTCTTCCAATAGTGTCTGTGCAGACAGTCAAGTCAACAATGTTGCCAGAAATCGTGTTCCCAACTAAGCAAGCCAAAGGCGACAGTAGGTACGTTTACATGGAAACTTTTTGCTTCCATCGGAATGAATTCATTCTGATAGACAAATTTGAACATAGTGTTTACATGAATGCTAAATAATGTGATCGGGTTGATATGCGTGTTTATATGTCACAACCCAGCAAGCAATTTTGCGTTTAAAAGACGTCTATTAGCCGTCTAAACACAGCCCAGACGTCTAGGCTAAAACAAGGCTAAATTTAATAGACGTCTAACCATATAGCCCAAGAATAGACATCAAATAGACAGCTAATGAATGCCTACATATATACATCTAATAGACAAAATGGCAATCCATCCAAACAAATTAAATATACAGCTTTTATTAAGAAAAATAAAATTAACAACTTGGACAACACAAAATGATAAAAATACAAAAGAATTAATGACAAAATAAAATTGTATAAATACAATACATAACAACTTAAGATAATAAAAATAAAATATTTGAAATAATTTAAAACAAAAAAAAAACCTTCTACAAATCAAGAGCATGTTATCACACTTAACATTAAAACATTACAGATAAACCCTTTTGTTAGTTTATTTATTTTTAACAAATAAAACAACCAACAGTGAACAAATTAATTAGGAATTATTGGTTTTATTTCTGGTTTAAAATGCTTCCCAACTGCATTCCTCAAGTCCACCTCTGTTGCTGCCGGGAAGTTGGTCATCGCAGCATCTGCCAAAGAAAAAAAAAGAAGAAAAAAAAAGCACAAGAAAAACTTTACTTTAATTACACTAATTGTGACAGGGAGTCATTCTCTTTTGCTTGGATGCCTAAACGAGATATATATATATATATGTGTATCACCATTCAGTGTTAAAAAAAATAAAATAAATAAAAAAGAGAGGCTCTCTGGTAAATGTTGTGCGTCTATACACACACCTCTAATGACCGAGAACAGTGCAGTCTTTTCAAATGCCTCTTTATGCAGCAGACCACCACCTTCATGTTGAATTTGGACATTTTTTTTAAAACCCTAAAATATATTACAGATTAAGATGGTTAACAATTGTGGATACAGTTTGACATTTCAAAATGACCAGTAAAGAAATTATTTCTTAAATTTCTGATTTGCGTTGTAACTTATTGACTATTGACACCACAATGTTTGATTAATGTGGCAAGATTTGTAGGCTTTACCTGTCCAGCATCCTTCTGGCACGGTCTTTGTGGTTTCTTCAATTCTGCACAACTTTGACACCTGAATAACACATGCCAATGTAAGGCGGGTAGTATTATATATGTGTCCGTGTACAAGTGTTTACCAACCTTAAACATTGATGCCCATTGACCTGCAAGTTTTCCATCACTAACCCTTTAAAAGTCTTTATTCCAGCAGTTTAAGTTTTTCCCTATAGTTGTACCGGGGCTGACGAGACGTGAGACGTGTGGATCCATCTGCAGGCTTTATTCAAGAGACGTGGTAAACAGGCAGGGTCAAAACAATGGCAAACAGGTATGTGGCAGGCAAAACACAAGAATAGTCCCAGGGCTAACGTAGGTCACCGATCAGCAGACAGAATCACAGAGGCGAGACGAGAGGGAAAAATCCAGGAAAACAGGCAAAGATCAGAAACCGCAAAAACAGGCAAGGCAAGGCAAAACAAGGAAAACACGGAGACTCGGAAAGGGGTACAGGCTAAACAATACTCAGCCGAGAAATGTGGTTAGTGTGGGTGTTATATAGTGAGTGAGGTGATTAGAAGCAGCTGTGTGCAATCAGTGCAGTGCACAAATCGTGCAAAGAATGATGGGATATGTAACAGTTTGTGCTGTGCGAGAGTCAATGAAATGGAAAGGGTGACCTCTGGTGGTGAATAAACGGAAGTCCATGGACTGAATTCGTGACAATAGTGTCCACACACAGTACACACATTAACCTCAAATGTACATGGAATAATAAATTCACCCCTACCGTTTTATTACATTGTTTTCTGTTTGTACTGTTTAGGTTTTAATGCTGCATTGCACATCTGAGCTATTTGCACTATTTTAATACTGCTGCAAACCTTTTATAATTGATCATTTTATATTGCCATTTTAAATAATTTGTATTCTTAAGCTTTACTATCAATTTGGAAGTTTCAAAATAAATCTTGTTGTACTTGTACAATGACAAAGATATTCTATTCAATTAGCTCATGCTCACTAAAATGGCAACTATGCTGGACACTTGACACTTTATTCACCAGGAAGAACAGCTCGTTCCGCGCGTCATACCTCATTATGCTATTTCTACGTCACCGCGCATGCGCAGTAATTTCCAGTTTCGGTTTTCAATCCGATCAAGTGTTTACATGTTCTCTCGCTCGAATTACAAAAGAAATAAACCACCCCTTACAATCCGATCAAAATTTTTTGTCGGATCTGGCCAATTCAATCCGATTGACGTGTTTATATGTTACTTTTTTATTCTGATTGTGCTTCTAGTCCTATTACGATCGGATTAGTAGGGTCCATGTAAACGCAGCTACTGGCAAGGAACCAAAACTCCATCGGTGACAGAAATTGAGAAAAAACATTGGGAGAAACCAGGCTCAGTCGGGGGGCCAGTTCTCCTCTGGCCAGAAGAAACCAGCATGGTGTGGTTTAATTCCAGGCTGCAGCACAAGTCAGATTGAGCAGAGGACTCATCTGGTTCTCGTGGTCTTGTGCCAATGGCCGACGAGGTCTTCACAGGGGATCTGTCTCTAGGGTTTGTCTAGTTGACATGGTCTCCGCTGACATTTAGGGCTATTGTGGTCATCTCTAGGTGCTGAACCACCATCTGGTCTGGATATGGGCTGGATCTTGGTGGCTACGGTGACCTCGGAATAAGAATGAAAGAAACTAATATTAGCGTAGATGCCATCCTTATTATGATGTAACAAGTACATTGGGTGTTATAGGAAGTGTTCCCGGTTCTGGTTGGACCAAATTAATGCAGCCTAACAATCCTTTAACGGATTTGAATTATAGAAAAGTGATTGTGTGTTATGTGTTTGCCAGGTTAAAGAGATGGGTCTTTAATCTATATTTAAACTGACAGAGTGTGTCTGCCTCCTGAACAACCAACTTTAACATTTTTGGACCAATTGAGATGGACTGATTCCAACATGTGTGACATGGCCTCATTCTGGAATTTTTTTTTATTTTTAAAAAGGTACAAAATAAACATGCAAACTAAACTACATTAAATAATGTTTCGCTATCAAATTAGCATGGTTTGTGCCAGCCACAATTATTGGCACAGAAACAAACATTTAGAAACCAAAATTGTATATGGTAGTGGTTTTACTTGTTTAGACTTTGAGTTTGGTTTCAGTTGATAATCTATTCTCAGGCGAAAAACTGTGGTCTTCCACTGGTATAGGAGATGTGAAAAATGTAACTGGTTATAAATGTTTTATTTGAGTTGCCATGGTAGATTAACAAATGTCCAAAAAATGTATAGTTTTTCTCATTAATGTGGTCAAACACCAAAATACCAAGCTTGATCTTGTGTTTTTATCTAAAAAAAGATACACTCATTTTGATCTTTTGACTTAAAGCTTTAATGGATGTTCCTAGTCATGACATTACTCATTTCTCTGCTATGTAGAGAAACAACAGCAGATGGAGGCAGAGCAGCAGGACTCGTATGTTCTAGCTGACCAAGACTTACATAGAGTTTACTGGCGCAGCAGCCTGCCTCCTTCAGAGCGTCCTGGAGAAAGGAGGACCTCAGAGATGAAGAAGCTGTATGGTAAAGATGCAGCAAAGATTCAGGGGATGGAAGCAGCCATGCAGCTCACCGTTGACCACAGCTGTGACAAAAAACAGCCCAAGTTATACCACTAAACCTGTAGGACGATAAGACGCCATCATTAGTATGCCTGGCACAACATCACAGGATGAAGAACCTGTTTTCTGAACTGCTGTGCTGACAGTACTGAAGTGATGCATCAAATCAGCATCTGTAAGGACCTTTTGCATTTATAGAACAAACACTTGTTAGGTCCTTATAGACAGATAAAGCATTTAGAGAGTACTTTTAATAAATATTCAGTTCAGTAGGATCAGTAAAAACTCTGACATTTTGAGTTTGAGTTCTGTAATTCCCCATTTACACTCATTTTCTTTTGCAATATCTGTACATTTGTATGTACTGTAGTGGCATCCACAGTCAACACAGTTCTATCTTTTTAAAGTTTCTCATATCATGTAAATGATGGAAGTGCTGCTTAGATTTCAGAGTCGTTCTTTTCATGTAGTCATTTCTCCCTAACTAGGTAATTGCCTCCCCCACAGTCTTTGGTTAATGTGTTTTGTCTGTCTCCTCTTTTTGCATCTCACATGAGCACATGAGACAGTGTTTCCTGTTATTCTCTGGTGCAGTTTTTACATTGAAAATTCTCCTTTTTTAATGCAAAGAAGTCGTTGTTTAATTAATGTGATTTGATTGATTAATAAATGTATTGCATTGAAATGTGTGTGGGTGTGGCAGTTACTATGATGTTTTTAGTGCTTATTATGAATTAGAGATGATAATCCTATCTGATTAGAGTTTTTCAATGGGAAAAAAATAGATCTTATTATTCCTATTTTGAACATCTGTCTCTGGAGATCCAATTAGAAAGATCACTATTTTAGTGGTGTCTCTTGTGAATACGTTTTGAAAGGCGAGCCTCTGGTTTTGTGGCTACAAACACCGCTTATTAGGTCAGTGTGTTACTGCATGTTGATAAAGTTGAAAAAGTGGCTACTTCCAAAATTAATTAAAACAGTTGAAAGAATAGTTCACCCCAAAATTCAAATTCACCGGAAGAAGCAATATTATGGCTAGAGCTCATGTTTTAGCCCGAAGCAATGGTCTGAATGCCTTAATAATGGATACATTTTTTTTATTACAAACGCACTTCACAAGACATTAATTGATGGACTGGAATCGTGTGGATTATTGTGATGTTTTTAATCAGCTGTTTGGGCACCCATTCACTGCAGAGGTCCATCGGTGAGCAAGTGATGTAATGCTAAATTTGTCCAAATCTGTTCCCACGAAGAAACAAACTTTTTGTTACATTTTGGATGGCCTGAGGTTGAGTATATTTTTGGCAAATTTTCATTTTTGGGTGAACTGTTAATTAAACTAACTTTAATTAAAATGTACAGAGTTTAAGCTCATCTTTGTCAAGATGAACTTGCATTAAATGTACTTTATGTAATGCTAATCATTAGTCAAGAACTAAGGTGCAATCTGTCTCATAGAAACAGTCTCTTATTGTCTTTTTCTTAAATAGCCAATGGCAAACTGACACTCCAGATAAGCCATTAAAATATGAGACCCCCAAATGTAGCATTGCAACATTGTCAACATTTTCTCCACAGGCATCAGGATCTGAGAAATTTGGAGCTTCTCTGTTTGCCCACTAGTGAGGCCATGCTGGCATAATGCCAAATGGCCAAAACTGAATAGAGTTCCCAGCCTGCCTTTTGGTTGCCATGGTGGTTTTCTCTGAGCATCCAGCAATTTATATTCTGTTGTACACTCTGGGCTCTCCACAAGTTCAGTTTCAAAGTTTACGACAATATGAAATGCTAAAAAATTGTGCCTGTTTGGTGTGTAACCTATATAATGGTGATTTACTTTTCTAATGAATAAACAGAAAACTTTTCGTTACCATGAGCGAGTGTGACACTGTTTTATCGTCCTTGGTTTAGCGTTCATGTGTTTCTAATGACTACTTAGTACTAGCAATACAAAGCTCTGCTCTCTGCCATCATTGCGCTTATGGAGAAAAGAGTAGCCCCGTCCGGGGAACCCAAAGAGTGACGTCACCACCGCAGCGATGGTCCCGAACAGGAGCGACACATTTGTTCAGTTGAGCGAAACTCTTTTCACTCCATACACCCGCCGAACTTTCTCACTAACGCCCCCCGAACACAGAGAACGCAACATGGGTGAGTGCATCCTCAATAGCGCGTTTGCTCCATAGTTTCTTATATGTGTTTACTCTAGAATAGCCTAACGTTTCTTTCTCTTCTGTTCGTTTTGAGACGCATTTAGTTTGCAGCTGCAAGCATCGCGTTTTTCGACATACTCTATCTAGCTGCGAATAATTTGTAATATGTATGTATCATTTGATAATGTGCAGTTTGTTTTGTTGCGTGCAGCTATGGTTTCAAAAATGACTTTTTTCTTCATTTGTTTTATGCGTGTTTAAAGTGTTTAAAAAACACTTTTATGGTCTAAAACGGGCTTACATTAAATGGCAACAGATATTATTTATATTTATATTAGATATAGGCTATATAGGTTGGTGTTAATATCGAGTATTTACATTTTCTCCATATTTTAATATTTTTTTTTGGTGTTTTTTTTCTGGGTTTTGTTTTAGTTGAGAAAGACAGTAATAAATAGACAGAAAATCATTAGAAAAACAATGTTCATCTCATTTTAGGCTTTCCAAATTCTGCTTTATGTATTTCTGCATGCATCAGTCAGTTGGAGTGATATCAATGAGCGTTGCTATAAATCTGTGAATCTGTGCTTTTTTATCCTGTACTTATCCAGCATGCAAAATAGAGCTAATTCGTGGGAAAGAATTCGTTCTTTCATTTGTCCCAGCTGTGTCCTTGGAATGGTTAGTTATAAAGCACATTCGTTGCCAGCTGTCTGGATCTACTGAGACTGCTACTTAAGTGGCACATCTCTGCTCTACAAGTTCCCCTCAAGAGAGTGATATTAGGTTTGTATTCCTTGATGGAAGAATGTCATTCTTTAGAGGACCAGGACTAAAGAAAGTGCTTATTGTGTGAGTCAGAACCCAAAGTGTCTCCAATTCTCACTTTCTCTGTCTCTGATCTTTCAGTTAGCAAAAAAATTATGGAAGCTTCCCTCTAAAACCTACTGTGTTAATAGACATGATATATTAAGTAACACTTGACAATAATTTGCTTAATAGAGGCGTTGATATGGCATTTAAATAAGTGGTTTTAATAAATACTCTCCTTTCCCAGGGAGGACAGACTTGTTTTATGATTGAAGATCTTTGAACATTTATGTCACTGAACTTCAGTCAGGAGACTTGCTAATAGAATTGCACTCCCACAGAATGGCTTGTCTCATAGAATCTGCTTGTGATTTTTCGGTAACTGTTAAAAAGGCCCGCTGCAAATGAACTTTTATTTTGAAATGTTGGTCACCTGAAGAGGATGTCAGGATGGACACCCCACGTGTGGCAGCACATCATGGTGATTATCACAGTCCTCAACAGTGGTATGTGGCAGATCGATGGGATCAGCAGGTGGAAACCTTCAGAGAGGAAAATGCTGATTTAAAGAAACAGCAAAAGGACATGTTTGCTACAGTTCAGCAGCTGAAGGAGGAAAGAGATGATCTTAAGCAGGCCAACGCCAAGTTCACGACACAGATGTCTCAACTTCAAGCAGAGGTGAGACAATTGTTAAGTTGGCAAAATGAACAGTCACAACCTCCTCAGGCATTGTCTACCCTTCCTGTACCTAGTCAGTCCAAAGCCCTAGATCGCCCTAAACCAGTTCCAGCCCCAAGAAAGCCAAGAGCAACTGAACCTGTAGCAAAGCCAAACTATGCCCAAGCCTCTCGTGTTGCATCACAAGATGATAGTTCAGCACAAGTGAGTTGGTATATTCCACATCATATGGTTGAACACAATGGAAAACATCGAGTGGTTTTCAACTGTTCATTCCAGTTTCAAGGGAACAATCTAAACGAATTGTTACTTCCAGGACCAACACTGACTTCTTCATTGCTGGCTGTGCTACTAAGATTCCGGGAACATTCTATCGCTATCAGTAGTGACATTAAGGGAATGTTCCATCAGATAGGTAGTACTACATTAACACTAATTCAATCATGAGCTTGTCAGCATCACTTCTTAGTTATTAACATTTTTAAGTGAATTTTCATTTTTATTATTATTCTATGTTTAAGTTTGAACATCCATCCTTTGGTAAGTGTAGTAGTCACAATTTCAACCTGTAGCCGACTTATTTGGGGGATATCATATTCATAAATTAGTTTCCACAAAGAACCCAATTGTTCACTTTTAAGACGTTACTCTTGTGA